ATTCCATATCCCATTCTAGCCGTTTCATTTCCTCTTCAATGGCAGACACCAACTGGAACAAAGTCCAAAACCTGCTATACGATAAAATATGCACCTCTTCGCGTACCATATCAACGAAGACACTATTCTGTACGGTGGCAAAATCATGCTGCTCCACAATTTGATGAAGACGCGCCAGTGAATGACTTATTATGGAACTTTTCAAAGGACGAAGTGACTCAAATAATGGTGCCGCACACTCTGGTCGGGAGTTGAGAACGCGACTCATTTGCTGCACAAACCTTAAATACCACTGTTAAAGATAGTAAAATAAAATAGCGATAAGGTAAATTAAACTCCGTCGCACCTCAGCGAAAAAGGAGCATCCAGAGGGACACGGGCTCGTATTATTCGTGCCAGCTTTTCAACAAACTTCATCAGTTGCGGTTTACCTGAAAGTCGGAAATTGTTTTTTTATTGGAATGCGTTAGTTGAATTTACTTGTCCGTGAGAAAAAGTTTACGCTTGCATTACTAAGGCAGAAGTTGGCAGATCAGAGGTGATTGAACGGCGACATAAATAATTTTCAAGTGCTAGAAAGCTAGAAAAGCAAAGATCTTTGACAAATTTCGGAAAATGGTAATAATCATAAATTCTTACTTTCATATAGACTAAAGTCTTGCTCAAAAAAGATTTTAAAAAATTGTGTTAGAATGAGAGAAAAGATTGAAAAGAAAATCCTCTATACCTAATAGAGCACACTGTTCAAGTTGGGAATGTATATGGTTGATGTATTGCGGAAGAAGACGAGTACTATTTTCAGGCGTTGAAGAAAGCTCCACAATCTTCGCATCTATTTCAGTTGCCGATGATGATAGTTGTACTTCCAACTCAGCTGCAATCAATACAATTGCGAAAATACCTAATCAGCCCATTGTGTCAAGTTCTCTCAGCAAATGATTGACTTTCCAAGAACATATTTTCGAAAAAAGGACAAAAATGAGGAATTCGCCTTTGTTTGCTCTCCCGATAATAAGTAGTAAAAATTTTATCTGAAAAACAGATACCTTCAAGGACGCCAAGATTACTCAAAGCTCTAATAGCAGATGCCACCAGTGAAGCGTTAAGACTCACTAATCCTCTACGCATATCATCCGCAGCGGAGCGTCGAACCTCAAAATCATCATAAGCACACTACCAAAACTCTAACGCAGAAAGTCACCTCGTTTTCCACAGCTTTTAATCGAGTGGTGAGAGTTTCTCTCAACCAAGTAATTTTAAGGAGATCTGGATTGTCTGCGACAATCCCTTTCACCTCGCATACTATCTCTGATCTTTTGACAATTTCATGCCTCTTATCCAATGAATCCATTAACTCTTCGCACCTATATAGTGGCAGCATGGGAGATAGCATTCACAAATAAAAATCCACAGACCTCATGGCGTCTGCAGTAAGATTTCTTTCAGCAACAAGACCTTCTAGTTTTGTTACCATTTGGCGATAGTCATTGAGCAAAGAGTCTAGAGTTTTAGCAAATCTGAATGAGTGCATGTTAGGAATTGAGGATTAATGGTTTTTAGACAAGATCCTGACATTAATTTGTCAAGTAAGTTTTACTAAGTAAGGCTGGTGCCTCTTTTTGCGGAGATTCAACTACAAAGAAGCAGTGAATTCAATTTTGACATATATCAAACAATATCCCGCACCTATCACAGTTTTCATATACTTCGTTCATCTCTGAATGAACATTCCGCTGTGTGGAATCCAACGCTTCGAG